TATAGGTTTATCCGATATGTTAAATGTGTACACATACATGTATACGGGCATGAGATTACTTGTGTATTTTTTGGCTATGTGGAACATCGTCAGCCGTCATAAGCACACTAGAGATCTCACCCGTTGGCAAAGTCACGCACTCAACACTCTGGGGATGATGATTGTACACTGAACATCGTGATAATTCTGTATTTGTCTGCCTACTTATTGAATGCAACATTTATAATCGCAGTAGTTGTTGTTTGTCATATGCATGAGAATACCAATACATACAAAAATGCATCCATCATTAAACGTACCAGTGTGATCGTCGCTGTGCCGGAGACGCAAGCCTCCAGTGTGTGTGCGACCAGAGACACACATCCGTTCCAGTGCAAAGGTGAACGGATTGGGGCCAATCACTATGGCAACCGTATCACTGTCGGTAGAGGCTACTAACGGCGGGGATAGCAGGTGTTCAGGCGCAACAAATAGCACTGAATGGTGTTCAATGTCGAACTTGCCTGCAATTGCATGGGGTTCAGGAAAAAGTGCATGTTATTTATATATGTATTGGTATATCGAAGTATGTACATATATATATGTGTGTGTACAGGCAGTAATTGTGTCTGTAGAGTCCAAAATGGCGGAGTCGGTAGGTGCACAGGCGCATTGAATAGCACACAACGGTGTTCAAGGTCGAACTCACCTGCAGTTATATGAGATTCGGGGAGAAATACATGTAATTGTTACCACAGGTGTACGCCTACGTGGTTATGTGTAAAGATTCTTGTGTATATCTATGTTCGAGAAAGTTGTATACATTGATGTTTGTATATCTATGTTCAAGAAAATTGTATACATTGATGTTTGTATATACGTGATTATGTGTAAAGTTGTATACACTGATTTTTGTATATCTATGTTCGAGAAAGTGTATGCTATACGAAGTATATCTACCTTCATCTGTGGAGGCCACGACTCCCACGACTCGCACCTGCAAGTAGTCGTGCTTGCGCACGTGTTTGTTCATGTACAGTTCCGAGGGAATGACCAAAACCGTGTGAGATGTGTCTCCCGCCTTGATGGTCGTTTCGTCATACTTGGTGTAGACCTGAGTAGAAGCAAGAATGCAGAGGTGGTATAAATACAAGTAAAAACAAGAATACAGTGGGAATATAGTCTTCTAAATTAACAATTATATACACTCTACAAATAATACCAAATATTACACACTGCAAATAATACAAAATGTTTGTCATAGAAATCATAGATACAGGTAGAAACAAGTTGATGATATAAATATAATAAAAACACAAGGTGATGATATAAATATATGTAAAAACAAGTATACAGTGGTAGTATAAATATAAGTAGAATCAACACATGAGTGGTTAATATATCCAACACAGCCGTGACGAATGCATGGCTGATAACTGCAGGAGGTAGGCCGTGTATACTACGCACAGTTATCAGGTTGTAGTGGATGTTGCTGCGTAGGTATTCAGTATAACTCACAACACGACTACTAATGCACTGGTGACTGTGCGGAGGATACAGATAGTTGAGTTAGTACTGGTGTCTTATCCATGGCACGTGCATTTTGTGGCCTGGGGTTTGCAATACAGAAAGTGTTCAGTCGTTGACAGTCACGTCCGCATACATACACGATAACCGCCTACATAGAAGTAATGGTTCAAGAATACATGAGGATACACTGTACGGAACGGCAACGCTCCCCACGATCACATCGACACAAAGTCATATCAAAGGTATACTATACCACTAGAATAGTATACAAAATGTATATAGGTATGTATGTATGTATGTATACATATA